TACTTGACCCAAGCATCCTTCCCCAGGCCCGCTGTAGTGGCCATATTTTCCCGGAGTTGGCCAGCAGATGGCAGGCTTTTCCCAAAAATGAGTGGAGAGCCTGCTGGTTTCTGATCTAAAGCCACTGAGAATCCACCAGGGGAAGTGTGGACCCCTGAGGTAGAGCACACAAGATAGAGCCCTTCTCCACCTTCCCTTGAAGCAGCTTCTCCTTCTGGAATGATTAGAATTACCCAAGGAATCCTTAAAACACTGATGTCCACTCCTTGAAATTCTGATTCATTGGTTTAAGGTGGAGACTGAGCCTTGGGATTTTTAAAGTTTTAGGTGAATCTAATGTGAAGCAAAACTTGAGTACCATTGGCTCCAAACAGCAATAAAACAGAACTTTTTAAAAAATTATATGTTCTTTCTTTCTTTCTTTCTTTCTTTCTTTTAAGCTGACTGGTTAAGTATATGATTCTTTCTTTCTTTCTTTCTTTCTTTCTTTGTATTTTTGGTCATCTGAACAATTTTCTTTCTTTCTTTCTTTCTTTCTTTCTTGATATTTCAAAAATAATGCAAAAATTTCTTTCTTTCTTTCTTTCTTTCTTTCTTTCTACTTCCTTACACTTATGTGATGGTTTGCTGTTATGTGTATTCTCAATTACATCCTGGTGGGGAGGAGATCAGAGTATTCTTTCTTTCTTTCTTTCTTTCTTTCTTATTTTAGTCCTTAATTAATTAATTATTCTTTCTTTCTTTCTTTCTTTCTTTCTTTTTTAATTCCAGTTAGTGACCATACTTCTTTCTTTCTTTCTTTCTTTCTTTCTTAAACGATTCAACTTCCATCCATCGCTTCTTTCTTTCTTTCTTTCTTTCTTTCTTTTATCCCCATAACTTACTTCCCCCATTCTTTCTTTCTTTCTTTCTTTCTTTCTTTCAGTTTGTTCTCTAGAGTTAAGAGTTCTTTCTTTCTTTCTTTCTTTCTTTCTTATCCTCAGGCCTAGCCTTCTCCTAGTTCTTTCTTTCTTTCTTTCTTTCTTTCTTACAACTTCCCATAAGCTATGTGATGTTCTTTCTTTCTTTCTTTCTTTCTTTCTTAGATGAAAGGAAGCAATGGTACCACTGGCCCTGGCCCTGCCCTGCATCATTCCCAGCTCTGGACCCTCCATTTTAAGAGTTCTTTCTTTCTTTCTTTCTTTCTTTCTTGAAAGCCACCAAGGAACCAGGATCACTCTTCACTTTCCTGAAGGGCCTCCTCTAGAAGTCACTCCAAAGGTCAGCCCCAGGCCCTGAAGGCCCAAGGTTCAGGTCATTGGAAAAGTCCCACTAGGGAGTAGCTGGTTTGGGACAGGGAATTCTCAGTGGCTGGAAGCTTACTCTGATAGCTCTCCTGGGTATGGGGTGAGGGGACATAGCTGATATCTCACAGGCTTAGAGCATTCCTCCAAGGCTGAGTGCTGGCAGGGATTCTGTATGTGTGGGAAATTGGATTGGATGACTTTATGGGGTATATGATGCTGGGATGTAATTATAAACATAAAATTGCCTGATGGCAGGGGCTCTCAAACTTGAATGAGCACCAGCATCGCTTGGAGGATTAAAACACAGCTTGCTGGGTCCCACCCCCAAACTTTCTGATTTCGTGGGTCTGGGGCTTAAGAATTTGCCTATTTAACAAGTTTCCAGATGTGGCCGATGCAGCTGATCAGGGACCACACTCTGAGAACTCAGAGGTTAGCCAAGATTATTCTGTCCTATGTGATCTGGACAGTTCTTTCTTTCTTTCTTTCTTTCTTTCTTATTTTATTTATTTATTTGTCAGAGATTCTTTCTTTCTTTCTTTCTTTCTTTCTTGGCAGGCAGAGGGAGAAAGAGACTTTTCTTTCTTTCTTTCTTTCTTTCTTTCTTTCAATCCCAGGACCCTGGGATCATGTTCTTTCTTTCTTTCTTTCTTTCTTTCTTCTGAGCCACCCAGGTGTCCCAAGGGTTCTTTCTTTCTTTCTTTCTTTCTTTCTTTTGTTTTGTTTTTAAAGTCAAAGAGTTCTTTCTTTCTTTCTTTCTTTCTTTCTTTCTAACATTGGTGTATATATGGGTATTCTTTCTTTCTTTCTTTCTTTCTTTCTTTCAACAGGATGATTAGAAAGGGGAATTCTTTCTTTCTTTCTTTCTTTCTTTCTTAAATCTGTATGTGCAGAATTGCACTGCATATAGAAAAAAAATGACTAGAAATTATCCAAAGAGTTTTTTTAAATTTTATTATATTATGTTAATCACCATACATTACATCAATAGTTTTTGATGTAGTGTTCCATTCTTTCTTTCTTTCTTTCTTTCTTTCTTGCTCCATTCAATACATGCCCTCTTTTTCTTTCTTTCTTTCTTTCTTTCTTTCTTCTACTCCCCTCCCCTCTAGAACCCTTTCTTTCTTTCTTTCTTTCTTTCTTTCTTCATGGTTTGTCTCACCCTCTGACTTTTCTTTCTTTCTTTCTTTCTTTCTTTCTTCTTTTATTTATTT